GCTCTGCGCCTAAATGGCCTAAAATGGTGTTTTCTTCCAGTGGTGCTAAAACTGGGACCAGTCTTGGCCAAGGACTTACGTGAACCCAAAGTAATGTACTTCCATTTCTGAAATCCAGATAGGCAGCTACCTTTGTCAGCACCTCTGTAGGGGCAGCCATCCATCTCAATTTCAGAAATAAGTCGTAGAAATGTCTTGGGCTGGAATGGAATAAATTCTTACTTGCCACGGGGTGCTGCCTGACTTCTGCTACCACAATCCCTAACAGCAGGATCAGACACGCTCTTGTGTAATCACTGTTTAATGACTTAGAATTTGTGGGTTGAGCCCTGGTAATTGACTGACTATAACTGTTACCTCCCTGCAAATGCAAGGGAAAAACCCCTTACCCCAGAACTTGGCGAAAGGAAGTTTTATTTGGCATGCATTAGTCCACGCTTGCAAAGCTGAAGGCTGTATATGCAATCAGTTAGCACAGATCACTTGAAGTATAGTCAACAGATATGTTAGGATTAGAGGAGTTTGTCTGATCTCTGCGATAGAAACATGTATAGGAGAACTTCATTAGATCTGTATCTGCAAATTAGAAGCCCTTCTGCCTGCTCGGGGTTTGTTAATGTGGTGGTAAAATTATCTAAGATTTGAGAGGTCTGGCTAAGAGGTTTATGCCAACTAGAAGAACGGTGCTTTGGACCAAAAGCTAGCAGTCTGTGATTGTTTCCAGCCCCTACTTCTGAGGTAAGGTACTACTGGAAGTGCCACCTTTCCATATTGTCACATGTCCACTGTTTGATTCCTCCTTAGCATTGTGGCAATCAGCTACCTACTTGAGCCCATCCCTCCCAGGGATGGATACCCGGCTTTATTCTTGCTGGAAAGATTGTTCTTCCTCACCTCTTCCTTTTTTTTTTTTTTTTTTTTTTTTTTTTTTTTTTTTTTTTTTTTTTTTCTGAAACACTTCTGTGATCACTTGGCAGAAAACTGGGGAGCCGAGGGGGGCAGATGGTGACCGAGTGCCCTCACACTAGGATCATAGTTAACAGAGCTTCTGTCTGACCTGTCTCAGATTGTACTTGCACCATTATGCATTTGGAGTCCCAATATTATGGTTGTCTTTCAGATCACCATGAAAGGTGGGAATGCTGTGAGAGCTGTTATTCAAGCTGATACATAATGATAGCAAAAAAGGTAGGGTGTTTAGAGAGGTGATATAAAGAACAGGTTTGTGAGAGGATTGTTAAATCCATGCTCTGCTGAGATTTTAGGAACAGGAGTGTGTTGAAAAGGTGGGGCACGAGAGACATCCTTAAGTCCACTGAGGTGGGTGTTTGTAGGAATATCTTCTAGACTTGTCAGTGTGGCACCCATCAGAGGAGGGGTTGGGCTGAGCAGGAGAGTAAAGAAAGCCTTCTCCTACAGATGCAAGTTATCTACAGAGGAGTACGCAGGAACTCCAGTATGTATTTCGGTGGCTTCCAAGAGGAAATACATCCTTACTGAGGAAAACAGTGACAGCTTCAGCTGCTTGTAGGGCAATTAAAGCCAGACTGGTCCTCAGTCCTCAGGAAGCTGATGCTGGAGGACTCTGCCATCCGAGAGGATGTCCAGGTGGGGCATGTGAGGGGTGCTGGTGCCAGGTGCATCCATGCCCTGGGCTTGGTGGAGGTGCAGCTCATCCTGCCAGCAGCTTTCTGCCAGTCTTGGTTTGGTGGCCAGTCTTGAGGTAGATGACTAATCTTACCTGGCTGGTGGGTTAATCTTGCTATTGGAGCTTCTCCTCCAAATCCCTCAGCTCTGTGGAGGGGGAGAGCTCTCCCCCATCACAGGGGGATAATTGCCTGTCCTGCCTTGGGGCTCCTCCTGACGTGGTGGCCAGGATAGGAGGTTAGCATCTCCCAGGGATCATGCAGGTCTGCAGAATTTCAGCAGACAGGCACAGTCTGGAGAGGTATATTTTTCTCTTCCTGGCTCTGGTGAGGCCTGTAGGGATGATTTTGGGGATTAAAAAAATAAAATAAAATAAAGCTTTTCTTCCTTTCAGCTCCACATAGGCAAACAGCCACTTTATCAACCCCTCGGCATGTGCGCTTTGGCAAGGCAGAGGAGGCATCATGCGGAGTCTCTATAATTAATATCAATGACTTTCTTGGAGGAGGGGGGTAAAAACTCGAGTCCTGGAAACTTAGATCCCCTTCTGGTGCTGAGGGGAGGGGAATAAGGGAGGCATTATTAGAAAACATTTCTTTTATTTAACAGATGTTAAATAGCACTATGCCACTATATCAATCTGTCAATTACCTTAATAGGAACCAGCATATAGAGAAGCAGGAGATGCTTGTTGGAGAGGGCAACAGCGGCCTCATTTCTGCAGGGTCTGGGGGCCGGGCATGGCCCTGGCAGATGGGGAGGTGTGGAAGGAGCAGTCGCACATGTGCTGGGCACATGGGGCTGAGAAGAGGAATGTTTGTGGACCATCACGGGAAGAACTCGCTGCAGATGGGCAGGTTCTCTCCCACCCTGTCCTGGTGACTGTGCTAGAAACTGGATTTTAAAAATCTTTAAAGCAGAGATCATGCATATCTTTATTTTTTCCTTCCCAATATGTATAACGTGCTATAGGTTTCAGCAGTGTTCATGAATATTTTCGGGATCTATGGGGTTTAAAAGCTGGAGGGGGCAAACAAAATTGGATTACTGAAGGCTGAAAAGCAACCAAGTCTTTGCAAATAGTGTACAACGGTCCCAAATCAGACCCAGCTCTGTAACAAGAGGCTGGTGGTGTTTTTCTCTCGGACACCCTATTTCTTCCTTAAACTTGTCCTGGTGATCCCCTGCCGCTGGCTGCAGATGCAGTCAACAGAATTTGGTGTGTTTTTATTAATATAGCTGCATGGAGCCCAAGGTTAAGTGATGGGAATTTCAAAACAAAACAATAAATTAATAAAATGAACGTGTCACCAGCTGATCCTCTTCTGACCACCATCTGTCCCCCGATCATGTGATGTCTCCCAGCTGGCCACCCAAGAGACAAACCATGCAAGATCATCCACACAACATATGCTGCTATTTACACATTTTTAAAGGTAATAGTTGCTAGGCTGTCATATTACTAGTTAAAAGCAGTTATTTGGAAGCTAGTTATTTTTTTTTCTTCCCTTTTTTCTTTCTTTTTTTTTTTTTTTCTTTTTTCTTTTTGAGGAAGCCAGTGACTCAGCAGGTATATTTCTAACAGAGACTCATTCAGGGTTGGATCAGTGGAAGTTCCCGTGTACAGTGAACTGTGCACAGTTCCCCCCCACACCTTGTTCTGTGGTATGCTTTTGTGCCTTTTCATGATAAACAGCAGAATAAACAAAAAGGAAAGGCAACGATACTACAAATTTTATCGGTGTACCTTTTAGGAACGTTATGTGCTCTCCTTGCCATCTCCAGGATGCAAACCAAGCTGTGCATTTTTAAACTATTGTTAAGATCAAGGATGTGGTTATGAGAAGACTTACAATTTATAGGATACTTAAGCATTAAGGATTGAGGCACAGAACATTTCCTGGGGATTAACGACTGACTGGGTGAGCCTCAGGCCATTAACCCCTGCCTGCCATTAATCTTCAGGAAGTGCCCTGCAGTGAGGTCGTTATTGCTGTTATATGCTGAAACAGAAAATAATAAGAAAGGTCCGTGTTTTATTTATTTATATTTTACGTAACGCAGTTATATTTGGACTGCAGGGAATTAACATCTTTCTCTCTAGCTGCTCGTGCTGCTCGAATTAATACATTTCATGCATCTCACCGCTTTGTGAAGGATTGTCAGCTTGCACGAACGTGAGTGGGGGCAGGATTTGGCCCACTGCTCGTGTTGCACAATGTTTGATACGATGAATAAGTAAGTGGTGCTTCTCTGGTGTAACTGCTGGCAGAATGTAGCCCTATATAAAAATCAGCTCAAAATGCTTGTTTTACAGCAAAGCAATTTATTCACAGTTCTAAGATCCTGCAGCCTTTTTTTAACTCATTGAATAATCCTTTTAGGTTCCCCATAAAGCAGGTGAAATGCTTCTGCTGCAGTCCTAAGGCAGAACACAGGCTGCATAAATAGCATCTAAATTACTAGGAATACAAAATACACATACAGTAATACATACCTACAAAGGCAAATTCATACTGACAGGACTGCAGTATGTGCTTATCAGCAGCAAAACATCTCAGGGAAAAAAAAGTGCCTTTCTATTAAAATTGCACATGCATTTCTCTCCGTATTTAAACACTTAAATAGTATTTTGTGCATGTGCTTAAAAACAGATGCGGGCACCTTTTTAATGAGGCTGCCTGCTTCAACATTTATTAGCTTGGAGATGTATAGTTTCCATGAAGCTGGATGAAGCTTTTTTTTTTTTTTTTGCAGAATATCTTTGCAAAAAAAAAAAAGCTTTTTTTTTTTTTTTTTTTTTTTTGTGTACATGGCCTCAGTCCTTGCAACCTCCTAGAGAGTCTGTCAAGGCGCAACTTAAAAGCTCGTTCAGGCGACCATGACCCCCTGCTAGCAGATTGTCTGCCTAAAAGGTAAGGGAAAGCTAAAAAAGAAGTAGAAACTTAAAAGTGGCTTCTCAAAGGCTGCATAGATCTTTTTTTTTTCTTTTTTTTTTTTTTTTTGTTAAACCTAAAGTGTTTAAAAGCTTTAATATTGATGGCCTGTCAACTTTGTCCTGATTCTTTGGCTTTCAGTTAAAAGGTTTTTGTTGTTGTAGCTTATGCAGTTGCTCTGTTGCTATGGAAACGTGACATCAAAATGACGTTTCTCTGTTTAAAAGCTTTTAACTAAATTCCTGCCTGTCAGATGTAGGCCCCATTTTGTGCACTCAAGCTTCAAGCTGTTGCAAAAAGGTTTCATATGTTCTGTTGTCATTCAAATTCTTTATCCACATATGCATGTCTTGCACTACAAAAACCTAAGCTAAAAACTCAATCTATATTAAGTGTCCTCTTTTAAAACCCTTTTAGGTCAGTCAGCAATGGCTGCAGCAGAAATTCCCAGTTACATTGTCTCTTCTCAGACTGAGAAACACAGAAGGGCCAGAAACTGGACTGATGCAGAAATGAGAGGTTTAATGCTGGTCTGGGAAGAATTTTTTGATGAACTGAAACAAACTAAAAGGAATGCCAAAGTTTATGAGAAAATGGCTAACAAACTCTTTGAAATGACTGGAGAAATTCGCCACGGAGAGGAAATAAAGATAAAAATTACAAATATGACATTCCAGTACAGGTAAGCTTCAGTTAATTCTTTTTATTTTAAGAGATTTTAGCAGGGGCAACGCAGTGGTGTTTGCTTTTCAGAAGGAAGTATCCTTCAGGAAATCTGTAGATAAAAGATTAAAGATTGTTCATATCGCTTTTAAAATTCTCTCTTGCCAGTGCTGTTACGTCATTGTTAATTTTTCCCCCATTTCATTTCAAACTCCGGGACAACTTTGTTTCTTTATAATTAACTAGCATTGTTATGGTGTAGAGGGATAGAAATGCATTTAGTGGGAAAACAGATTTTTTTTTTCTCTTTGCTGAGGGGACCGATTGTGTGAGCTTGGCAGCAGCTCCTTGCAGGGAAACTCCTGCAGTTTGAAGTGGCCAGTGAGGATCGGCATTGCAAGGCAAAGTTTTCTTTTTTTTTTTCTTTTTTTTTAAAATATGAAATAATGTTTTGGGGGAATGAAGCTCCTGGATTTTGTTACTGTGAGTTGAAGGGTTACACTTCACGGGGCCAAGAATAATTGAATGCCTTCTTGCCGAGTGGCACACATTGCTATAATTATAAGCAGCACCAGCGAAAGAACGATCATATCTGCAGCGAGGGAATCGATGTGCACCGTCAATACCGCTCCCAAAGAGTTGGGGGGAGGGCAGAGGTGGCTACAAGGAGATGATAAAGAGCAGGCAGTGTCACTCAGGAGGGGAAGTTGCCTTTAAAAACGCGATATGCTTTTTTTTTTTTTTTTCTAGGGGAAAAAGAAATTAAAACTAAACAGGAATATTTGCATCTCTCTCTCTTTTTTAATTTTCTTTTTTCTTCTTCTTCTTTTTTTTTCCTTTCTTATCTCTGTGAGGCACAAACTGCCTTGTACTGGAAATCCTGAGTGGTGATTTTAGCTATGTGCTTGTAATGCAAGAAAATCAAATATGTGACTCTTTTATTTAATCTCTCCTCAAAGCTCGTATTAATAATAAAAAAGGTTATTACAGCAGGCAACCATGTTAAAACTGCTTGCTTTTCTCTGAGGCAGCCCTCTTGTATTTAATGCAGAGACTGCTCATCATGTAGAAAACTAGAGAAAATCCTGTAAACCCCTTAACTTTGAATGTCCTTCTTCTACATTTGTAAGATCCACAAGCGTAATCTTTACATCATTTTCCATAACATTAAATCCATGTTTTGTAGCAAATGTCTCTAAATGTTTCACTAACCCTGTTGCAGTCCTTGCAGTTTTTTTTTTTCCACCCAGACTGTAAATGAGAAAGCTGGAAGTAAGATAAATTTTTGCCCTGCATCACCCAGCAATTCACACTCAGATGAAGAATTAGAAGTCGAGAGTTGTTGGCTACCAGGCCTTTGCTTAGTCTGCTAAATCTGCAGTCCTCCCTGCTGAGAAATACATCTCACAGCACCGAGATTTTACAGGTGTCTAGCAACACCGCAAAATATTTAAGTGCCATAATTGCCAAGTGTAATAGGTTATTTCTGTCAGCCTTTGTTCTACATTTTCAATGTTGTCATCAGTCAGACTGTCTCAGTTTTCCTAATTAATGTTTTTGCTTTAAAGTTGCAGTGGGGGAAGGGAAGAAATAAAATCACCCACGACCATAGTCTGCGTGTGCATGTGGAAACACAGCACTTTTAAAAAATTCTTATAATGCTTCTGTGAACTTCAGAGATTGTTTCTGTTGCATGTTATCATGCTGCTTTTCTATAGTGCAGTGCAGTGCATTGCAGCTCCTTGCTTGTTGATTAAGATGCAAATTTATGAGAGTTAGAAAACTGCCTTGCACTATCACTGTGCTGTTTCATTTTGTACTCGTGGATTTGAAATGCATCTTCCTGATTGTTTGTTCCCATCCAAAGCACGCTTGTGTGCTTTGCTTTCAAGATGAGGTGATAGAAAGAATAGGGACAAACACAAACTATGACTTAGAATTCGTAGTTTTCTGGAGGCTTTTTGTTGGCATGTGAGGATAGGAAACGTGATGAAACTAAATGATGTGTTAGTTGCCGCTGACTGCTGGCTTTGCTTTGAAGCATCTGAGTTTTAATCCACATTTTGGTGCCTAGAGGATACTTGAAGATACTTTACCTTAGTGTATTTCCATGCATCACTGCTGCACTGTGGCATAAAGCTCAAAAGAAAATCCTGAAAGTGGATAAAATGATCTATTTTGGGACAATATTTTGTAATGATTACGTAGATCTATCAAGTGTGACATGTGAGCACCAGTAGCAGGGCTGAGGGGGTGTTCTGCACCCAAGTGATTATTTCTTCCCACTCCTTCAGGATCTCTTACTTTTTACCCAACTCTGTAGTGTCTCAAAGGTGCTATGGTCTCTACTTTAATAGTCAGAAATTTACCAGATTAGAATATTTAATCAGGTAATAGTGTTATTTAGTGTTGAGCCATGATTTCATAAAGGAAAATATTTTTTTTGTCCTACAAACTATGATACATACATATGCACACATACATAAACATTCATAAACATATACACATATATGTATATATTTGCTATAAAAGGAAAAGCAGTACTTGGATATTTTTCCTAGTTCAGTTAATGAAGTTCAGTGGTAAGTGTTGCTGCTGGCATGTCACATCCTGGAACATCTCTTGAAAAAAATATTAATGATCTGAAATATTAAAGGATCTAAAATAGTAAACACATTTATAAGGAACACATTTATAATGGCGAGCACATTTATAATGTGCTTTCCTATCTGAGGATCCCATAACATTTTGAGATCCAATTCTATATTGTTTTGCTTATATTGCCCAATGAAAGCCATTACTCATGGTGCAGAAGAAGTCAAAGTCAGACAAACATATACATAGGCAGGGGAGGTGCATTTCTTATCCAGCAGCTACTGCAGTTGCTGCAGCTAATGCAAATTTATTCGTGGTTATGGTGGCCTGGAGCTCAGGCTGGGCTAGTAGCCCAGGTGTTCACCCGGGTTTGTGGGTACATTTTTTGATCCTATGTGGAATGCTGTGCTGCCAGATAAAGTTAGTTCAGGTGTAGTTCAGTGCATGTGAGCTTCTGTCACAAAAGCAATTTTAGGATGATCATATCCCATTCCTCCACATCTGCTGTAAAAACATTGTAAAAATGTTAAAATGCCTTTATATAAATCTATTTTATGTCATTATTTCCTCCTTGAATTCTCATGTTTATTTCAGACTGCCCTATATTTCAACAAGGTGACAAGAGAATGAGAAGATGTTTAGAAAACATGATTAGGATAAGATGTGGAAAGCTTTCTTTATTGAGAAAAATGGAAAAGTCTGTGACTCGCTTGGAAAAGAAAGCAAAGAAATTGGAGGAGTTCTAGAGGTGCATGAAAACATACTGCCCTATTTTTGAGAATGTAAAGCAGGTATTCCTTTTGCCATAACACAAGAAGCTATTTGTTGAAATTGCAAGGCAAGAAATGTAAAACTAGTTCAAGTCATATAAATTTGTATTACACTGCATAATAAGCATGTGGAACTCATTACCACTGAAAATCACTGAGACCAAGAGTGGTAGGTTGTTTTATTATTATTATTCTTACTAAGGATTAGATTTATTAAATAAAAATACAGACATTGTTTGTCTTCAAATTAGAGTCATAAAAGACAGTGGGTTTCAGGATATTACTAGCAGTCAATGGAAAAGGAAGGAAATATCATTATGTCACCCAAAAATCCTGTCCATCAACATGTTTTTGAAGTATTTAGTACTGACTTTGGTCAGAAGTGAGGCAGCGGGATGATGATCTGGGAGCAGCTCCTGTATTCCTTTTCATTGCTGTGGTCCAAGAGCATTTGCAAGAAACTATTCAGGGAAAAATATACCATATCCTGAAGTAATTCCTACTGCAGTTTTGCTATGTTAAAGGGCGATTTAGTCTACTGTGGAAATTACTCAACTTGTCTGAGTGGAAAGTTTTGCACAGGTGGAAGGAAAAAATTTGTTGCAGGTGCATTTGGGTAAGATTCTGCATTTAGGACTGGAACCTGAAATATTTGCTGTGGATAGACCAGCCACCAGGTTTTTAAAGTTCGGTTTTAAAGACACCTGGGTAACGAGCTGCATGAACATCCCTATTTATCTCTGGTGGAAGAATGAAAAGCTAAGTCAAACCTGCTGCAATTCAAATTTATCTTTCTGATTTGCTGGGTATCAAAAGTTTTGCTGAGATTAGTATATCATCTCTTGCAGTTCAGTTTTTTAGGTTTGTAGAATACTTGGGGCAGTCAGCACACAACCCCGTAATTAGCCCTTATGAAAGAAGGCACTTTCCTGTCTCTGCTAATATAGTGATATTAATTTACTACATACATTGTAATATTGCTACTGGCATAATATATCTTTTAAAAATAAAATAGGGTTTGCAAAGCTAGCACAGTGGTCCTCAGTTTTGACTGATTCCCTCTGATGTTTAAAAATAAGAACAGTGAGTGCAAATTTATTATTTTCAAAAACATCACCCTCTGCAAAGCCTAGGAAGCAGGATGCAGCTGTTTCTATTTTATTTGAATCACAGTCAATTAATGTTAATGATTGGTAAATTTAAATCAGTCTCATGATTTGAATAAAAGATTAGTCTAATTTTTTATTTTCATGTGTACATGATAGCAATTAAACATTGTTGCTCGTGTAATTCATTGCTATACTCTATGACATTAAGCAAGTGGAATATTTGACCTCTGCTACAGCAAATAATGAAATATAAGTGCATCCAAATTACTGCAGAAAGTTAAATTTGAATATTTTACCAGCTTTCTCTTTAATTTTAATAATTCATAGCAGATGCACAACTTAAGTACTGTACTTTCATACATCTTTCTTTCCCTCCCCGTTGATTGGTTCATGAACAGTTGTTATTTATTATTTATTTTGAAAGCTTTTCTCAGAAACCCCAGGAGATGAATCTTATATCCATTCCTTAAGGCAAGTAGTAATATCAAATACTGTAATAATAATAAAAAAGCAATATTGTGTTGAGCAAAGAGAAAAGAAAAAAG